GAATTCTCCCGATATTTGCTTGACCATCAACATGGAGTCGGAATATATGATGAGGTCGGTTAAGCTCATGGCTTCTGCCAGGTCGAGCCCGGACAACAATGACTCGTATTCGGCTTCGTTGCTAGTAGCCGGGAAAAGGTACTGAACTGAATGGCAAAAGAGTTTCTTCTGGGGTCCACGAGGACGACTCCTCCGCCCGCTCGTCCGGCGGTGGAGGACCCGTTCACGTTCATCACCCATGGCTCCTCCGTTTTTGCTTCTTCAACTCCCGGCGTGAATTCCGCTATGAAGTCTGAGAGTACTTGCCCCTTCATTGTTGTTCGGGGTCGGTAGTGGATGTCATACTGCCCCAGCTCCACCACCCACTTCACCATCCGACCGGACGTGTCCGACCGGTGTAGGATCTGTCTAATGGGGTAGGAGGTGAGGACAGCGATTGAGTACTCCAAGAAATACGGCCTCAGCTTCCGGGCAGCGGTTACCAGCGCGAAAGCGAGCTTTTCCATGGGCGCGTAACGCAGCTCGGCATCGTGAAGTGCCTTGCTAACGTAGTAGACCGGGTGTTGACAAGAGTTCTCCTCCCGGATCAGGGCGGCACTTACGGCCACTTCAGATACTCTTAGGTAAAGATAGAGTGTTTCTCCCGGGTGGGGCTTTTGCATCGTCGGAGCCCGACAGAGGGTCTCCTTAATGGCTTCCAGTGCTTTTTGGCAGTTGGGGGTCCACTCAAACTTGTGATTTTTCTTGATTGCGTCGAAGAAGGGCTTGCACCGATCCGTCGACTTGGAGATGAACCGACTTAGGGCGGCGAGTTTGCCGGTCAGACTTTGGACTCCCTTGATCGAGGTTGGTGGTCGGACGTCTTGTACTGCCCGGATCTTTTCGGGGTTCGCGTCGATGCCGCGTTGGCTAACAATGTAACCTAAGAATTTCCCGGACCCGACACCAGACGTACATTTTCTGAGATTTAACTTCATCGAATAATCACGCAAAATAGAGAACATTTTTTTGAGATCGTTAACATGATCAGACGCGTACACAGATTTTACTAACATATCATCTACGTACACCTCCATGCTCACACCTATCAAACTAGCAAACATTTTGTTAACAAGACGTTGGTAGGTTGCCCCGGCATACTTCAGTCCAAACGGCATCATTGTGTAACAGTAGAGTTCGCGTGCCGAGTAGAAAGATGTGTGCTCTTCGTCGTCGGGGTGCATGGGTATTTGATTATATCCCGAGTACGCGTCCATGAAGCTCATCAGCTCGTGTCCCGAGGTGGCGTCTACCATATAGTCGATGTGGAGCAAGGGGTAGCTATCTTTGGGACACGCCTTGTTCAGATCGGAAAAGTCTATGCACAAGCGCCACGCCCCATTGTTCTTCTTCACGAGGACCGGGTTGGTGACCCAGGTTGGGTACCGGACCTCCCGGATATACTCGTTGTCTTTCAACTTTATTACTTCCTCCTCGAGGGCTTGTTGGCGATCAGGGCCAAGCTTCCTCCGCTTTTGCACCACGGGTTTGACCGTGGGGTCGACCTGAAGTCTGTGGCAGGCAACTTTCGGGTCGATGCCGACCATGTCTTCGTGGGTCCATGCGAAAACGTCCACGTTCTCCCTAAGGAATTTGATTAGTTCGGTCTTTAGTGGTTCCGGTAACCGGCTCCCAATTCGGAGCTGCTTTGGACAAGTTTCTTCATCGATGAAAATGATCTCGACTTCGTCCATCGGCTCGGCTCTTTTGATTCCCCTCTTTTCTTCGTACTGAGTGCGGGGGTCGAGCTCATCTTCTTCCGTGACTGGCTCCTTCCCGGCTCTCCGGCCCCTGTCACGGTCCAGGTCAGCACCGGACCCTTCTTCCACCTGGTCGGTTGCTCAGCGTGCGGTCGTCCCCCAGACCGAGACTAGCCTGCTCGGCCCCCTGACTTGGTTCAGAACGCACTCCAGAGCTTCCCTCTGGTCTCCTCGGTGTGTCCCTTCCCCGTCTTAGGTTGGGAACTTGATGGAATAGTGAAAGATGGAGACGACCCCCTTAGCTTACAAAGCGTCGTCCTGCCTATGATGGCGTTGTACTCGCTCTGACAGTCCACGATTTTGAAGGTCTCGAGGATGGTTCTTTAGGGATGCCCCTTTTCTCCGAACCGGATCGGCAGTGTGACTTGGCCGACCGGGGTGGTCATATGTCCGTTGAAGCCCTGGATCCGTTCTCGGCATGGTTGCACGTCCTTTGAATCTATCCCCATCTTCTTGAAAGTGTTGTAGTAGAGTATACTTGCATAGGCCCCAGTGTCGACCATGATGCGGTGGATCTTGATTGCCATGATAGGCGCGGTGATAACCAACGCGTCGGAGTAGGGGTGGTCAAAGAGGAAAGCATCTTCGTCGGTGAATGAGATCTTGTTGGGAGTTGGTTCAGGTGCCGGCCTACTCCCGGCGTGCATCACCCTTTGCCCGACATGATAGGCTTGTCGGGCATAAGCCTTGGCCTGTCTTCTCGACAGGAGGGATTCAGCTCGGCTGGTGTTCACACGCCGGGGTGGGAAATAGGCCTGGTCGGCCCCCGATGAAGGGGACCGATTTCGCTTCCAGCCCCTCGAGGTGTCGGCCTCGCCTTGATATGCCGGGTTGAATGTCAGGATCTCATTGAGGCCGCCCTGTTGCGGCTTCTTCCTTCGTGGGTTCACGTCGACATCGTCTTCACTGTCGAGACTTTCCTTGAAACGGCCTCCCTTCTTCCTCTTCTCCCCTGAGTGGGTAAACCTTTTAACGTGCGGGTCCTCAATTAATTTGAGCAGTGCCGAGATCAGGTTTCGGCACTGGTCGGTGTTGTGTCCGTGAGCCTTGTGGTAGGTGCAGTAACGGGATTTGTCCACCTTGTCCTTATCGGTAAACATCGGCTTTGGGTCTGGTAGCAACCCTTTGGTCTTGATCTCCTCGTAGACGGCCGCGGCACCTACCGAAAAGACACCTTGATAGGCCTCCTTAAGCTCCTCCGCTTTCTGCCTCCTCATGGCTCGGTTCTCAGCGGATGATTTGCCCGATTTTCCTAACTTTTCATCTTTCGCCTTTCCCTTGTTTGACGCGGCGTCGAGCACCGGGATGGATGAGGATTCCTCGGCCATGATATAATTTTGGGCGCGGACAAGGAATTCTTGGTATGTGGTCGGCTTATTTTGGCAAAGGGACCACTTGAACAAAGTCTTCGGCTTCAGGCCGGCCTGTGCCGAGATCAGCAGCGCCTCTAGGTGGCATTGTTCCATGTTTTGGACTCGATCGTTGAATCTAGTTATGTAATCCTTCAAGCTTTCGTCCTCGCCTTGGACGATGTTGGCGATGGATTCCTTGGGGGCGAGGTTGATCTGCGATCCGATGAAGTGTGATCGGAACGCCGCCCTGAGTTGCCCCCACGTGGAGATGGAGTGGGGATACAGAGAATGATACCACCTCTGCGCCTTGGGCCGCAGTGTCAACGAGAACGTGCGACAGCGCAAGCGTCAGTGGCGCTGTGCAGGTCCATCCACTAGGTGTAGAGGCCAATGTGGGAGTCCGGATCTGAGCTCCCATCATAGAGTCCGAGCTGAGGAACTTTGATTTTCTTAGGGACGGGTTCTTGCAATATGTCGGGCGAGAGTGGTGAGGCGTGGTCCACGACCCGGGGAGAAGGTCGTGAGAAGGGAGGAGGTGGTAGGAGCGGAGGTAAAGGTTCGCTTTGAGTGTGGTGTCGACCCTCCAGCTCGGCGATTCTATGCTAAAGAGCCACGACCTCGTCTGCGTCGCGCCCGATGGTTTTTCCCCGTTCAATGACCTCCCTGAGGTCCCGATTGGCTTTGCTTTTGTCGCCAAGGCGTTGATAGACGGAGCGGTGAATAACCTGCAGGCTCCGATCCGGCTGGCTTTCACCGGTCTGTTCGGAAGGCGTCGGGCCGGCTCCCTTCTCGCGCCGTTCTAAGGCGGCGCGGTTGGGGGACTGGGCCGCCGTCTTGGATTTGGCGGGTTTTTTCTTCTTGTGTCTGTCCGCCTCCTTGGCGGGAGTTTGGAGTAGTGTGTTGCCGGGGCCTTCTGTGGCCGCCACGGTGTTGGCCCCGGCCGTCTGACCAGCGAGCGCCTTTGCGAAGACCCCCTCAAGGGCTTTAAGGACGTCGGGGTGCTGCATGGCCTCCGCGAAGGTCGGAACTGGAGGAACAGGGGCTTGAGTCCCCTGTTGGACTCGGCGGGAGGTTCCCTCGCCGTTGCGCCGGCGAGACTGAGCGCCGGATTGCTGTGTAGACTCGTCATGAGTGGATGAAGTCATCTCTGGTCGAGTTTCGGAGCGGAGATGATTTGGAACAAAAGAAAATTGGATGTGGCGTTAAACACAAGGTCGAAAAATGTCGACACCAAGTAACTTATGGGGCCCTCCTTCTAGCTCCAAACTGTTGGCGAGCGTTTTCGGTCAACGGTTGAGATTAAAAATATGGAAAGTGCAGGACTGGAAATAAAGGGAAGATATAGTTTAATTACGATTTTATTTAATGATCACGGGGTCGGCCTCTCGTACGAGGTCGGCACTCATGATATACTTACAATTCCTTAAAGGGGGTTTCTTACAACTTAGAGAGAGAAAGTAGAGGAAAGCTTAAGTTAGTTGAGAATTCAACAACCCCAAAATAAATGAGGTGAATCGCTATTTATAGTACTCTTAAATGGGGTACTGTTCACAGGTCTTGTCGTACAGTGGACCTACAGAGCAGTTCGGCGCCTCCCTGACAGTTCATTAATGCGATTTGAGGTTTCTCCAATCATTGCTTGCTAGGCATTAAATGCAAGCATGGGTAGCATTTAATGCTGATTGAATAACTGTGACGGGCCGTCCCATCAGCGAATGATGACCTCCCAAGTGGCGAATATTTTAGTAGCGACCGGATCGGCGCCATCCTTTGGCAGGGCGGCTCTAGCTTATTCAGATCGGCACCTTCGCTCTAAAGGTCCGCGTGACCCAGGTGAGCCTTTCTTCAGTTCGGTACTGTGGTGAGACCGGCTCGGCTCCCAACATGTCCGGGTGCCGGGCTCGGGAAATATTCCCTTCGACCCGTACTGCATATAATTCCTCGACTCAGGTCGGCTCCTGTGCTCCTGATCGGCCTGGCGCTTTCCAGGAGTTCGGTCCCATACAGCCCATGGGGCTGACCCGTTTCATCCTGACCCGACCGATCCGGATGTCAACAAACATGATACTCAAACGTATGTTCCAGAAACACAATTCCATGATCGTGAAGCAACTATTAATGTTGAAATCCCAAAAAACACACGTGTTGCTGCTGAAGGTCGGAAAAAACGTCTACAGTGGACAAAGGAAGAGGATGTGCAATTGGCAAAAGCTTATGTGACAATAAGTGACGATCTAATTACCGGTAATGATCAGAAGAGCTCAGCATTTTGGGTACGTGTTGCAAATTATTATAACGAAGATACACCTACTGACAATATTCCCAGAAATGCTAATATAATAAGATCTCACTGGCATAATACGATTCAAAAAAAGGTCTATCGATTCAATGAGTGCTATTACAGTATTTACAATGTTTATCGAAGTGGTTGTAGTGATGAGGATATATTAAGTCGGGCTTACGAAAATTATCGTATATAGAATGATGGTGTAGCCTTCAATCTTGAGCATGTATGGAGAATCCTTAAAGATCGTCCTATGTACACCCCACAGTGTTCTAATGATATTTTTGTTGAGAGAAGAAAGACAAGAATTGATGAGTCTGGTGCCAGCAATACTTCATCAAAGGGGGATGCAAACATTGACTTAGATGAACTTCATGAAGTGGCTCGCCCAATCGGGCAGAAGGCAGCCAAACGAAAGGCCAAGGGCAAAGGCAAATATAACCTTGAAGAGATGGCCGCAGAATACAACAACATGGTTAAGCATCTTGCTGAGTTAACTAGCCTAAAAAAAGTTGAAGTTGAAGTTAAAAAAGCTACTCTTGAGAAGAAGAAGCAGAGAAATCGTCGGAAAGACTATGATATTTTAATGAGAGACACAAGCCACATGACCGAAGAGCAACGCATTTTTCATGAAAATATGTGTGAAGCAATTCAAGAGAAATGGATATTTTAGATGTTGTATTATATGTTTTAATCATCCTTGTATTTTTGTATGTTGTGATTGTAGGTATTCAACTTTTAGCTTGTATTGTTGTTCTTGTTCTTGTTAAATTGTTAGTCAGCCTTTCATTAAATTGTTCTTGTTCGAAATTAAATTTGTAGCATGTCTTTCCACTTAAATTGTTCTTTGTATTTGACAGATGTATTGTATGTTAAACAATATGACTAATCAACTTGCTGGTCAAAAATAAATATGTCAGAAGATAAGATATGACTATCAAAAGTTAATTGATTTGCTGGCACAAATAGGCATGTCAGAAGATAAGGCATGGGTTGTGGCACGTTTATCAATTTGATAACTCAATTAATGTAGACAAAGTATGGGTCATGAATGACAGCTATATGCAATAGTTGTCTATAATAATCAATTTGCTGGTCAAAATAAATATGTCAGAAGATAAGATATGGATATCAAAAGTTAATCGATTTGCTGGCAAAAAAAAACATGTCAGAAGATAAGACACGTGTTGTGACACACTTATCAATTGGATTACTCAACTAATATGTCCGAAAATAAAGTATGGGTCATGAATGACAGCTATACTCCATAGTTGTCTATAATAATCAATTTGCTGGTCAAAATCAATATGTCAGAAGATAAGATATGGGTATGAAAAGTTAATCAATTTGCTGGCACAAATAAACATGTCAGAAGATAAGGCATGGGTTGTGGCACGCTTATCAATTTGATAACTCATTTAATGGTCAATATAAATATCCATTGATGTCTATATATTCAAAGCAAACTCACATATTTTTTCTCATTCTTCAAATCATAGTTACACACATTAAATTCAATTAGAATCCTCAAAAAATGTCTCAAAATTCATATAGATTCGAGTCTAATTCATCATCATCCACCGATAGTGAAGATAGTGATGACACTAATGATTTAGAAGTTCAAATGATTTCATCAATCATTCAACGAAGCCACGAGTTACTTCAAGCATATCAACATGAAATTGAAGTTCAGAGAAGAAGAATGTTCATCCACAGAAATCGTGAAGATGGGCATGCGAGACTTGTAAGTGATTATTTCTCTGACCATCCAGTCTACCCAGATTACATATTCCGTAGATGTTTCCGTATGCGAAGAGAATTATTTATTCGAATTGTGAATGCACTTTGAAGTGAATAGATTTCACTCGGGCTCATTCGACTCGACCGACCTCCGTACCTGCAAGAACCCAACGCCGGGGTGACCCCGGCGTCGGGCCTCCGATGCCTAAGTCAATGCTCGGATCAAGAGAGAGAGAGAGAGAGAGAGAGAGAGAGAGTAGTATGGAATGAATAGAGAATGAGTGAATGAGATACATGTTGGGATAACACTAATAATACCTTAGCCCCCCTTTTATAGGGGGAGTGTACCTTTTGGGCTCAAGTTGGGCTTGGCCCTTATCGTTATCCCATATGTCTTAATCCATACGTGGGCTTATCCTCCAATATATATTCGTTTTCTCCATTAAACCGAGTGTAGTATAATATCATATATCATCTAGTCCCCCCCCCCACTCTGGTCGAGTAAGCATAACTCGATCCAAGAGTGAAATGTCTCTTCGAGCCGCTTCCGCCAACCTGCCACTGAGGTTATGAACAAATATACAATAATACCAGACCAAATAGAACCAAGTGGAAATCATCGACCTGCCTCCGAGGTCTGCTCGAGTTATCCATGTCTTCGCACTTGCCCACCCAATCCGAGGAATGTTCGAAACAGGAGGTCAACCTGCCCATCCCAAGGGGTGTACTAAATAAGCGACCACCCAGCCTGGAGGCCTTAATCATGGTGGATTTTGTCTTCATACTGCTCGAATTATCCATAATGAGCTCCCTCAACCTGCCACTGGGGTTAGGAACAAATATACAATAATACCAGACCAAATAAAACCAAATAAAAATCATCGACCTGCCTCCGAGGTCTGCTCGAGCTATCTATGTCTTCGCACTTACCCACCCAATCCGAGGAATGTTCGAAACAGGAGGTCAACCTGCCCATCCCAAGGGGTGTACTAAACAAGCGACCACCCAGCCTGGAGGCCTTAATCATGGTTGATTTTGTCTTAATACTGCTCGAATTATCCATAATGAACTCCCTCAACCTGCCACTAGGGTTAGGAACAAATATGCAATAATACCAGACCAAATAGATCCAAGTAGAAATAATCGACCTGCCTCCGAGGTCTGCTCGAGCTATCCATGTCTTCACGCTTGCCCACCCACGAGAAATGTTCCAAACAGGAGGCCACCCGTGTTAGAGGTATGCTGTAAAAGCTGTGTTTTGCAGTTTCTATCAGTTCCATTTTGATCTGGCAATCATGTTTCGGTCAAAGCACATATGTTTGCAGTTTATTTATTTATGCAACACATACTCCATGTCTTATATTGAG